GCGGGCCGCCTGGGGCGCCTCGGTCGCGCAGGGGGCCTTCGGGGAGGCGCCAGGGTGCGGCGGCGGCGGCGGGGGCGGCGAAGGCGAGGGCGAGGGCGAGGGCGAGGGCGAGGGCGAGGGCGAGGAGGAGGAGGGCGAGGACGACGAGGACGAGGACAGGGCGAGGATGGGGGCGAGGAGGACGAGGAGGGCGAGAAGGACGAAGACGAACAGGGCGAGAACGACGAGTACGACGAGCAGAAGGCGAGGGCGAGGACGAGGAGGACGGGGAGAGCGAGGAGGGCGAGGAGAAGGAGGAACGCGTCAGCCCAGCCGCTGATGTTCGCCTAACGCAAAAGGGAGGAGGAAGTGGAGGAGGAGGAAGGGGAGGAGGAGGAGGATCGGAGGAGAAGGAGGAGGACGACGACAGCGACGACGAGCAGCGACCTCATGAAGAGACGCGCCGAGTCAGGATTCAGGACCGATGGGAGCAGCAGAAAAAGGTAAGAACGCACAATATATCACAGAAAAGGTGGGGATACAGGCGGGATCAAATACCAGAGCGGCATAACCGGAGGACACGAGGAGGACGAGGAGAACGAGGAGGGCGAGAGGCCGAAAAGGAGAAGGAGGAGGAACGCAACAGCCCGGCCGCTGATGTTTGCCCGACGCAAAAAAATGAGGAGGAGGACAACAACGACGACGATAGCGACGAGGAGGACGAGGGCGGAGGGGGAGGGGGCGACGAGGGCGAGGCATGTAAGGCCCCCGGAGGCGAAACTCGGCCTGCGGGCCCCAAACGGGGCGGGGACGGCGGCTACGGTGGCGAGAATGAGGGCAGGCCCTGACCAGCACGATCGAAAATGGGTACTCTGGATAGGGGGGTGATTGACCCCCCGACGGAGCTTGCCCATTCCCCCCCCCCGCCCACCCCCTCCGCGTCCCCATCCTCGTCTCCCTCCTCCTCCTCCTCCTCCTCCTCCTCCTCCTTCCCTCCTCCTCCTCCTCCTCCTCCTCTCCCTCCTCCTCCTCCTCCTCCTCCTCCTCCTCCTCCTCCGCCTCCTCCTCCCCTCCTCCTACTCCTACTACCCTGCTCCGCCTACTCCCTCCTCCTCCTCCTCCTCCTCCTCCTCCTCCTCCTCCTCCTCCTCCTCCTCCTCCTCCTCCTCCTCCTCCTCCTCCTCCTCCTCCTCCTCCTCCTCCTCCTCCTCCTCCTCCTCCTCCTCCTCCTCCTCCTCCTCCTCCTCCTCCTCCTCCTCCCCTCCTCCTCCTCCTCCTCCTCCTCCTCCTCCTCCTCCTCCTCCTCCTCCTCCTCCTCCTCCTCCTCCTCCTCCTCCTCCTCCTCCTCCTCCTCCCCTCCTCCTCCTCCTCCTCCTCCTCCTCCTCCTCCTCCTCCTCCCTCCTCCTCCTATCCTTATTCCTTATTAGAATATACTCCTACTCCCCCCTCAGGCCGGCAGATAGGGGCCGCATCCGGGTGGTCCCATCCTAACCTGTAAAAAACAATACAAAATCAACATTTTTCTTATTTTTTCCTCTCGACATGGACGTCCTGTCGTCCACGGCGATAATCCATTGCAAAAAATACCACAAAGAGCACACGCGCGCGTTCATGTCAGAATCCTACCGAACACCGTGTGTTTGCAAGCATTTCAACATAAAAACATCAAAAACCCAATGCTTTTTCACAAAAATTCTACAAATTTCCTGCCCGGGCTCTCTTGCTGAAATCATAGGAAAACCATAGGAATCTTAAGAATTCGGTCAAATCCAGCGATTTCACGTCATCGCGCGGTGCACTCGCGATGCTCTGTCATGCACCCAGGCCGCGAATCCTGTGCAAAAAATACAACAAAGAGCACACTCGCGCGTTCATGTCAGAATCCTACCGAACACCGTGTGTTTGCAAGCATTTCAACATAAAAACATCAAAAACCCAATGCTTTTTCACAAAAATGCTTTGGGGTGTCCTGTCAGACCGTCGGGCTTCCTCCGGCCACCTCTGGCTTCCTGCGGTGTACCGGGCCATTCTCGACTCGTCTGGCAATGCGTGCGCGGCATTCAACACGCGCTCGCCAGTTCCCGTCGGCAACCGCCATCGCGGCCGCATCAGCTGTACCAAACCGGCTGGCCGGTGTGACTTCGGCCCCCAGTTGTGCCAGCTTTGCTTCTTATGTTGTGGGAGGGCGGGTGGGACTGGGCATGCCATGCTTGACTCGCTCGAGCTGGCTAGCTTGACTCCTACTCCTACTCCTATCCTTATTCCTTATTAGAATATACTCCTACTCCCCCCTCAGGCCGGCAGATAGGGGCCGCATCCGGGTGGTCCCATCCTAACCTGTAAAAAACAATACAAAATCAACATTTTTCTTATTTTTTCCTCTCGACATGGACGTCCTGTCGTCCACGGCGATAATCCATTGCAAAAAATACCACAAAGAGCACACGCGCGCGTTCATGTCAGAATCCTACCGAACACCGTGTGTTTGCAAGCATTTCAACATAAAAACATCAAAAACCCAATGCTTTTTCACAAAAATTCTACAAATTTCCCGCCCGGGCTCTCTTGCTGAAATCATAGGAAAACCATAGGAATCTTAAGAATTCGGTCAAATCCAGCGATTTCACGTCATCGCGCGGTGCACTCGCGATGCTCTGTCATGCACCCAGGCCGCGAATCCTGTGCAAAAAATACCACAAAGAGCACACTCGCGCGTTCATGTCAGAATCCTACCGAACACCGTGTGTTTGCAAGCATTTCAACATAAAAACATCAAAAACCCAATGCTTTTTCACAAAAATGCTTTGGGGTGTCCTGTCAGACCGTCGGGCTTCCTCCGGCCACCTCTGGCTTCCTGCGGTGTACCGGGCCATTCTCGACTCGTCTGGCAATGCGTGCGCGGCATTCAACACGCGCTCGCCAGTTCCCGTCGGCAACCGCCATCGCGGCCGCATCAGCTGTACCAAACCGGCTGGCCGGTGTGACTTCGGCCCCCAGTTGTGCCAGCTTTGCTTCTTATGTTGTGGGAGGGCGGGTGGGACTGGGCATGCCATGCTTGACTCGCTCGAGCTGGCTAGCTTGACTCCTACTCCTACTCCTGCTCCGCCTACTCCTGCACCGCCCCCCCCCCACCCGTTCCGACAGCACGTGCCCACCACCCCACACCCCGCAGATCCAGAGGGACGGCGATCATTGTCCCATCCAGAATATGGAAAGAACAGATCCGAAGACCAATAGCGGTGCCTGTCCACGTTGGGTCAGATTTACTGTCGGCGTCCTTGCGGGCCCTGCCCACTTGAGACGAACGGTCGGCTGCCCAACGGCGGCCACGGTCGGTTTTGGACAACACTCGCTGTTGTCGGGAGCGGCCAAGAGGGGGGCGTCCAAGAGGGGAGGGGTGGGGGGGGAGGGGCAAATCATGGCCGGCGGCATGTGCGCGGCCCAGGGGGGGGGGCCAGGGACGTACCAAAAGAAGAAGAGGCGCCATGAAATCTGGAGAAATATCATGGCCGACGCCATGATATCCACCCCCCCCCCCGGCCATCGCCCCCCTCTCTGCCGCCCCCGCTGTTGGGCACCGCACCCATGCTTTCCGGAACCGGCTCGGGCGTCCAAACCCGAGATCCTGGCCCTGCAGTCCGCTCACGCCGGGCGCTCTCGCCGGGCGCCGGGCCCCAGGGACCCTCTCACGGGTCGATCCAGCTCGGAGAGTGCGGCAGAGAGACGAGAATCAGGTCGGGCCTGTCCCCCAGTTTGGAAGAAAAATCAAGACTACCCCAGAAAATAATCCAATGGTCAAAAAATACTCCAGACATCCTCCCCAGACTAGTGTTCAACTATTCTTGAGTACTCCTCCTGTAGAGGGACACGCCAGACTTAACTCCAAACGCGACTTTCCACGAGGTTGCAAAACTGTTCGCGACGTCGGATCTCAGGGAGCGTGAGGGCTCCGAGGCCTCTGCTGATGCGAGCCGCTCCGGCGGTGCCTCGCCGCGCGGGGCCCAAAGCGGAGGAAGGCGGAAGCACCACCCGCGCACCGGGCGATGCGCCGACGAGAAAGACGAGCCCAAAGGCCCACGCCGAGCCCCAACAGGCCCCGCAGGGAAGCACAAGGCGGGGCCGAGAGGCCCCAGCGCCAGGCCTGGAGGAATGCGAGAACGAAGAGGACGGGAGAACGACGGGCGAGGATGAGGAGAAGGAGGAGGACGAGGACGAGGACGAGGACGAGGACGAGGACGAGAACGAAGACGACGAGGCCGACGACCGCGGCGACGAGTACGAGGACAGAGGGGAGGGTGGAGGAGAGGAAAAGGAAGAGCAGAGGGGTGGATGGAGGGAGAGGAGGTGATTGTGTGACCAGGCGGGTTTATACGAAGCCTGGTGAGCGTTCGTGTGGTCACGGGGCCTCCCCAGAGGAAACGAATGGAGCACTGTGCGGCGGGGTCTGGCTACAGACAGACGCCCAGGCCTTCCGACGCCTCGTAACGCTTAAGGGCCTCCTGGGGCCTCTCCAGAGCCTCTTGGGGCCTGGGGCCCAAAACAAGCCTCTTGGGGCCTCGACAGGCCTTCTTGGGGTCTTCCCGGTGAGAAAAATCGTCGATCCTCGTCGTCGCGGAGGAGTGCAGTCAGGAGCAGGACCGTTGATCGTGGATGGTCCATCGTCGTCGCTATTTCTCTATGGTCATCGTGGTCAGTCGCGAGTATTCTAGACACCACCGCTGTGCTGCCTCGCGCGCGGCGCCGCCAGTGGGGGAGAGAGATTATACATCTGCGTCGTCGTCGTCGTCATTCTTCATCGTCAGTCGTCATGCGTCGCTCATCGTTCTCGTCTCCGTCGGAATGATGACGGGCGTGGGAAGAAGAGGTGGGTGGATGAGGAGTACTAAATGGAGTGAGGGCAAGGACGAGAGGAGAGTGAAGGAAGAGGAGGAGCGGCGTCTTTCGTCGTTATTCCTCGTCATCGTCTTCATGGCGCTCTGGGAGCTTCCTCTACCACCGAATAGTACCCCCTTGCAAGGTCCCGGCAGGTCCAGATCAGAGATGCTGGAGCTCCTGGGCGCGGTCTGGGGGCCCCCACAGCGCCCCAATGAGGCGCCAAATGGGTGATAATCCCCGCGGCCTCAGGCCAAGACCGTTCCAAAATAGCTCACGTTGATCCCAAAACGGCCGAAGAAGCGCCCAAGACGCTCCAGGAGGGATCCAAGCACTTCGAGAAGCCCCGAAGACGCAAAAATACATGAGTTTGCATGGTTTTTCTTGTGATTGTAACGGTGCCGCCTTTTCGGACTGCCGACCGCACAGGACGGCCCTTGAGGCCCCAAGGTCGCTCCAAAACAACTTTGAAAGCTTCCAAGAGGACCCCCAACTGAAGACGGCCCAAGAGGCCTCCAAGTGGCCCCCAGGATGTCCCCAAGAGGGGGCCCAGAGGGGGCCCCCCAAGAGGCCCCAAGAGGCGCCCAGAAGCCCCCCGAGAGGCTCCGAAAGGCCTACGAGAGGCCCCCAAAGAGGCTCCCAAGACCCCCAAGAGGCCCCAATGCAGGAAGCCCCAAGAGGCCCCCAAAAGGCCCCCAAGAGGCCCCCGAGAGGCTCCCCAGAAGCTTCAAAACTTATCCCCAGAGGCTCCCGAGAACCCTCCGAAGAGACTCCCCCAAGAAACTTTCATGAGGACTCCGACCCGCAACTCAGGTACTTGAGCCATCTTGGCGCACTCTGGGGCAGTCAATCGGTTCTCTTCGCGAGGGTGCGAGCATCAGTTCCAAAGATCTCCTCGAGGATATTCCTGCCTGCCCGATCTTTCCCTTGCGCGCGAACACAGCACAACGCAGCAACAGTGATGTGAAGGGCCGACGGAATGAGCGAAACGATCAAATGATAACACATAGTTAAAACCACTTATGATTCAATTGCTGTTCCTACCAGCAACAGTACCCTTACTATTACAACTACTGCTACGGCATCAACTCTGAACGATTACGACTGCAGAGAGGTAGGGACACTTCAGCATGCACCCAGATGGGTAGTTGTGTGGTCACATGTTTCTGGGCTGGAGTGCAAGCCCCTCAAAATTGCCAAGAACACTCTACACCTCCTCCCCCTCCTCATCCTCCGCCTCCTCGTCCTCCTCCCTCCATCCTCCTTCCGAATCCGCGCTAATCCCTCATCCCTCTCCTCCTCTGTCGCAGGTGCGGCCTCAGAACCCGCCGAAAGCCGCGTCGCCCTCCTCGCCTTGGGCGGGATTCAGTGGGGGCGCGGTCAAAGGAGAGGAGGGAGGAGGAGGAGGAGGAGGAGGAGGAGGAGGAGGAGGAGGAGGACGACGAGGTGGAGGAGGACGAGGAAGAGGAGGACGAGGAGGTGGTGGTAGTGGAGGGGAGGCGGGAGGCGGGGGAGGAGGGAGAGAGGAGGAGCAGGAGGAGGAGGTAGAGAGGAGGAGCAGGGGAAGAGGAGCAGGAGGAGGAGGAGGAAGGGAGGAAAGGAGGAGAAGGAGGAGGGGGCGAGGAGGAGGATGAGAAGGAATCGAACCGAATAAGGATCCAGGGGCTCCCTGGAAGGGCTTCGACGGGCCCAGGGACTTCGAAGGCTGGGGGCTCCCTACAAGGGCCAGGAGCTTCGAAGAGGGCCGGCCCCCTGCATGCCAAGAAGCCCTGCCGGGCTCCTGGAAGATCGCCCCCCTTCGCAGCACCCCCTCGTGCGCGCCGCCAACTGCCGCTGCCGCTGGCGAGGGCGTCGCGGGTGGGCCAGCAAGAGCATGGCCATGGCAAACAAAAGACATCAACTGGCGGGCACGGTGGAGGGGCTGCGGAGTGGGGTGGGGGATGGGGGGGAAAGGGGGGAAAAAGGGCGGAGCAAACCGCACTCCCGAATCGGGGGGACGGAAAGGTGAGGTGTAGCTAGCCAGAGGTTGGTTTAGAGGGGACGCGCACTGTATGGTCCCTGGATGGAGGAAAGTTCGACGACCAGGCGGATTCGTGCCTCACCCCTTCCTTGGGCATCCCCCCCCACTGTGCGCCTCCAGAATACTCCGCGTCTCAAAGAGCGGTGGATATGAATATCTGCCCGCTCACGCGGACGGCCAGCAGACATCCATATCCGCCACTCCGCGAGATCCCCTCGGGCACGCCTCCAAAGCGGTGGATATGGATACATTCTGGCTATGGGCACTGGCGCCAGACCATTTGCACGCCCGAAAGGGGTATGGAAAAAGTGGATACAATTCCCGACAGCAGATGTCGCTGTCCGAAACCGACAGCGGCTGCTGTAGAACAGGCGACGTTTTATCCTAAGTGGACAACGGCCGCGGCGACACCGAGAAGAAGTCCTGCTGAAATTGGCATGAACTGCTGTCGATATTCGTCCCCATCCGTTCCGCACCGATCGGTTTCCTGGCCAGAACTTGGGCCACGGGCGAACGGACGTCAGGGACGATCCGGGCACCCTCAGAGCACTCTTGGCCAGGCGCAGCTGCTGGCAGGCATCCCGACGCGAGAAAACCCCCAGCAGCCAACGAAAGCCAAAAAGACCTTCCCAGATCGTGGAGACCCCCGCGCGTCGCACACACCTTCGGGGGCCGCAACGAGACCAGAGCGCGGAACAGCGGTTCAGATACGCCGAAGGTACGAGCCTTCGGCGAAGCACCCCGGCGAATACGTGTACGGCAGGTTCGCGTCGTGACGACACTGGCGTGGGTTCCCGACTCCGCCGGGCTCGTTCAACCTTGAACGGTGGGCCGTGTCCGAAACGTGAGATCGTTCAACGATGGACCCATTCTCAATCGCTGGCTGCGTTCAACGTGGAACGCCGCCAGCGGCGGGGTCGCCGCCGGTCGACACGACGCGGACCTGCTGCAGTGCTCGCCCCTGGGCTATTCGCCTGACTACCTACCAGACCACCCCAACCCAACCCGAAGACCCGAATTTCGGGTTTGGGGGGGTAAGGGTTCCACATGTGTTTTTCTCGACGTTTCCCGACCCCCCCCCCACTGGAAATCGAGGGTAAATCTAAGCCTTCGGGTTGGGTTGGGGTGGTTTGGTGGGTGGTGTTCGCCCCCATCGTCGACTCCGAAAGGCGGATGGAGAGCCAGCAGCCCAAGCAAAAAACACCACCGCACGCGGCCGAACAAGCGCGGGTCACTGGCGCACCTTCTTAGACGCCCCGACGGTGGCACGCCGCGGGGCGGCCAAAACGGAGGGAAGAGAAAAGCAGTCAGGTCAGCGCTGGGCTCCAATTCGATAAAACTGCTTGGATGCCACAGACCACCCGAGCGAGCACTGCCCCGATCAATCAGACGCGGAAGTGTCGTCTCAAGGTCACAATAAATCAGGTCAGTGCTTGGGCCTCCCAAGCATCACGTGAAGGAACTCGAACGACCCGAAAGCTAACCGGACCCCGTTGTGGTCCCGTACAGAGGGAAGATCGAGGGGGCCAGCCTTCTCAAAGGCGTTACTTCAACTGACTAGGTCACCTAAGTTTGCCCATCGCGCCCCGCGATGCGCGACGCGCCCCCGCGATGCGCGACGCGCGGGTAACTTCGCACCCTCGCGACACCACCCTGGAAAAGGGTAGCCCTCAAGCCAAGGCTGCGACGCGCGATGCGCGATTACCGTCGCGCCTCTGGAAGCGACCTATCTTACGTGGCGCGAATATGTTCAGAAGAACAAGGAACGGCATAAACATAATTTCTTTGAGGTCCGCGCGGATTTCCTGGATCGGCGCTGGACACCCACCCCTACCTGGCGCGCGGAGCGCGCCAGGGGGGGCACCACAGGCGGCGCCGCCAGGGGGACTCCAAATTAGGATATGTGAAATACGCGCGGAGCTCCGAGAAATCCCAACAGCCCTGTAGGGCGTGATTTAGGGCATTTCTTATTTCACCCCCCCCCTTCCCCTTCTGGAAGAGATGAATCAGGCGACTGGCAGCCAACCAGCAACAATGAGCACACCATGATCACACACACACACACACCAACCATCCTTCTCAAAAAACAATACGAGCACACTCACACACACACACACACACAAACACACACACACACACAATCTGCCTCCAAATTCGGAGCATGCGCAACCAACCCGATGCGGGCACCCCCGCATCATCCCTGTCAAAAAAGCAAGTACATGTTGGGGCGAGTCATGTTCGTGAAGCCCGCGAGCACCATGTATTGTTTTTTTGATAGGGACGGCGGGGGTGACAACATATTGCCTGCTGTGCGCAGGGCTACCATCGCAGACAAATAAAAGCATACAAAAGGCACCTCGCGGCTAAATCTGGATCATGCGCGGCCACCCCGCGATCACTGTCAAATTGCTTTTGACAGGGACGACGGGGGTGGTGGCGTATGGCCTGCTGTGCGCAGGCCCACCAGATGCAATGATGGGCTTTGTTGTTTACAAGGATGGTGGGGGGCGACGTGTTTCCCGATGTGTGCCGTCACGTGCGCAGGCGCACCTGACACACCCTGCACGTGCTCCGAAGTGGCGCACCTGGCGCGGCTGGAGTATGCGGCACACCTGGCGCACGCGGAGGCACGTGGCGCACCTAGCGCACCAGGCATGTCTAGCACGCTCTGGCCCCTGGGGTGCCTGGCGCGCGTGGCGCGCCTGGCACGCGTGGCGCACCTCGCCCCAGCGTCGCGAACATAGGGTCGGTGTTGGTTCCCAGTAGCTGCCCATCCAAACACGACCGCTGAACATGCTGAGGCTCGGGTGCTACTATGTGTCGGGAGGGCGGGTCTGAGTGAGCTAGACTACTTGCTATCTGAAGACACCCCTCCCCCACCCCCTCCTCCTGGACCTGGACCTGGAAGGGGCCTTTCGCGAGAGGTTAATGTGTTCAAGATGGCCTCGGCGAGGAGACCAAGATCATGAATCGTGCTACTGAGTTGGTTGCATGCTGGCTCTCTGGGGGAGGGGGCACTGCTTGAGTGCGGCCCGTCCTGGGCCCCAAGATGCCCCCCCGAGGCTCCCAAGCGTGCCCCAAGACGGCTCCAAGAAGTGCTCGGGAGGCCCCACGAGGCCCCCGAGAGGCCCCCAGGATGCCCCCAAGGGGCTCCCACGAGTCCCCCAAGAGACCCCAAGAGGCCTCCCAGAGGCACCCAAGACGCCCCAAGAGGCCTCAGCGAGAAACCCCAAATCGCTGAGTGCATTAAGATTTTGGCAAAAGTTTGGCCTCCGGGGGGGGAGGAAGGAGCACTTTGATCGACCTCTTCCAAGATGGCCCCAAGATGGCCCCCGAGGCTCCGAAGCGATCCCCAAGACGGCCCCAAGAGGCGCCTAGGAGGCCCCAACAGGCTCTCACGATGCCCCCCAAGATGCCCCAAAGATGCCTCCAAGAGGCCCCCGAGAGACCCAAGAGAGGCTCCAAGAGGCACCCCAGAGGCACCCAAGACATCCAAGAGGCCCATGGGACTACCAAGAGACCCCCAAGACGCTCCGGGAGTACCCCAAGAAACTCTCGAAAGAAATGAGAAGAGACTCCGAGAGGCATCCAAGAGGCCTCTGGCTTTTCTGCTCGCCCTCCTCCTCATCCTCCTGTTCCTCCTCCTCCTCCTCCTCCTCCTCCTCCTCCTCCTCCTCCTCCTGCTCCTCCTACATCTACTTCTACTCCTACTCCTACTCCTACTCCTACTCCTACTCCTACTCCTACTCCTACTCCTACTCCTACTCCTGTTCCTACTCCTCCTCTTCCTCCTCCTCCTCCTCATCATCATCATCATCGTCCTTCTCCTGCTCCTCCTCCGATTACTCCTGGGGTGCGACGTCTTACCCTGCCCTGTAGGCCACTGCATATTCCTCCACATCCCTGATCAAGGCACCTCGTTCGGGCATCGTTTCTGGATGGGCTGGCTGGGTTACGCCAAGCGTCCAATATTATCTGAATTATGGTCCTGCCGTGTGTTGCTCTTCGCACGAGCCAGGCAGCACCGCCGCAGGAGGCCTGTTGCTTGGAGGGCAGGTGGGCTTCCAAGGCAAGGCCACACCCCTCGTAGAGTCGGTGGGCTGCTTTTAAAGGGCTTCCAAAAGGTACGGAGGCAGCACCCCGAGGCGAGCAGACCTCCGGGAAGCAAACGGAGACGCTCGGAAACCTCCAACGAGAAGACGGGCGGGGTCAGGGCTCCCCTCCTGCTCCGCCAACCCGACTAGAGGATTCGGCCTGACCTCAGGAATGGTAAGGAAGGAACGAAGCCCCCTTGCTTCCAAGGAACACCAGGGAGGCTCGCCGCCAA